ATCTGTTCTCTTTGGCCAGTCACAGGCTCCTGCCTGGCCTTCCTCTGCCTGCTTTCTTCCTGACCTTTCTTCCTGCTGTATGGAAGCCTAATTTTGGAAAATGTGCTAGATCAGAGCCTGTGTAACCACTAACGCCTGTCAGGAGCATCCCCACCTGACCCTTCTCATCCTCTGCTCTCTCTCACTCTCATTTGTTGCATCTGGTTTAAAAGCAAATCATAAGCTCCTCAGAGCAGAGCCCTTGCCTTCCTGCTGCCGTTAGCACCAAGCACAACAGTGCCTGCCTCTGGTATCGTTCAGTGCCAAAGCTGTACAAATAAATAAGAGTGAGTCTGAATTACACAGTTGAAGTTCTCATCTAATATAATTTGAACAGTAGTCACAAGCAGTTGTACCGGTTGTAATTCATATAATAATTTACAACTGCTAGTTTTTAACTATTGTGTAATTTGGATTTACTTGCAGTTCTCATGGGATAAGGTATATTATTGAGCAAGAAAGCAATAAACTGCATTCAGAGTAGCTGTGGGGTGTTATGATTTAAAAGAGAGCTGGTGGAATACTACAAGAGGAAATATGCAGGATCCATTATACTGTTAATGAATGCACAACTCAGATTGGTGATTTAATTTTTAGATCATATTTCTCTCATACCCTCAGGTATAGCAGACTTCATACATAAAAACTGAATAAGATGGTACGTATTTATGCCCAGTCATGCAAAAAATGAATAATAAAAAATTCGTTTCCTGTATTGTTTATTCATTTGCAATTATTTCTTTTAATGACATAGCACTCAAAGAGCATTATTAGAAGGGCACAACCATACTTCCTCATCTAATTTTGAACCCATGGTAGTAACCTCTGAGACAGCTTGATATTTATCCAAAGCTACAGACTGTCACTGTATTTAAGCCATGACTACAGAATCATTTTTTCATCTGGCCAGGAGCTTTCTTGAAATAGTCACCATTTCCTTCCTCAGGCAAGGTGGCAGATTGGTGATATTTTAAACTGTCTCTTGGCTGAAAGACAAGTCCCAAATTCTTTATTTTTACAAGCAGACCTGGTTGATGTAAGCAAGACCTATTCCTGCAGGGTCCACACCCCTGAACAGTTGTCAGAACCAACATTATGCAGTGACTTCTTCTTTTACTAAATAAGGGATTTTTGTGTCCATTATTTTTATATTGGCATGTTAATTTTAAGCTTTTTCTGTCATCCTTTTTCTAAAATGTATACTGATGTCCAACTTTTTAAGAATCCACATTTTACAGTAGACTGCATTTTAAATTGCACAACCATATCTGCAAATTGAATCTGACAAATCTCTGAAAATACACAAAGAAAAGAAGGTGCAATCAAAGGAAATTATGCCTTGCCTTTCAGGTTGTACACCTGCTATTTTAATATTTTTTTTAATCTCTTACAACTGGAGTATCACTTCTTAAATGAATTTGAACAACTCGCCCAAGAGACATTCTAATCCGATCGTGTATTATGATGATACCAGTTGGATGTTATCCTATTAGGCACTCACTGTAAATAGGGGATTTTCCACTGACTTTTAAATCCTTGATTAATGAGAATGCTTGAAGCAGTGTCCTGTAAATTAGCCATAGTGCTAGCAACAATGGCAATTCAGTTAGGACAACTGATTTGTTTTAAATCTTCCCATCCAAATTAAAAAGCAGGAGGAAAAGATAATGTGTGGTAGGTAAAACATATTACTCTATCTTGCATTATTGATCTGCACCCTGTGGATGTCTGACACCCTTAGGTCTAAATCCTTTTCTCTCTTCAGGTAAATTCCTGTCAGTCAGAGCTCTTATGGAGAGAGAACTCTATCAGCTGGGCCATAGTATTTAATTTATTTATTCTTTATATTCTCTAGTGTTTTAGCTAATTCTGAATCCCATGTTAAATTCTGTTAACCAGACAAATGGCTTTCATTTGTAGTTTGGTCAGTGCCATCTCACTTGCCTTTTACAGCTCCTTTGCCTTTTTTTTTTCTGATAAAAATATCTATGAGTAGCAGCACAAAGGTATTTGGGTTTGGGGAAAGGGGAGGATAGGGGGAGGTTTTGATGCATCTGTTAACTGATACTTAAACTGGAATTCTTCCTGACATATTTTTCTGAAGAAAAACACTTTTCAGATCATCTTATCACTTCACTTCTTATTCAGCTACTGATATTTGATTTATTGCTTGCAGGAAAATTAGTTTTATACCAAGTAATGACTTTGAAACATACATTACTTCCTTTAATATTCTGAGACATTGATGAAGTCTTTCTTGATGTACTATATTCACATTTATTTAAGGTGTTATTCATTTCTGTACCCACAATATACATGCACTTTTATCATTCAAGAACATCCCTTTCTTCTTGTAGAAGTATGAATACTCTTTTTGTAGATTGGAATTAGTGTCACTTTATAAAGACAGTTTTGACACTCTCTTATGAGTAACTGAGCAAAGTATCTCTCAGACATCGATACTTAAAGTGTATTTTTTCAGTAATTTTGAATTTCCAGAATATTGAATGTACTGCAAACTGTACAAAAAAAGTAGAGTTACTTAAAGTATTACCATGCTATCCTATATCAAGAATAACCAGAGACACTGCAATAATCCTATAAATCTGTCTGATCATTTCTTCTCAGGTCCCTCAAGTTACAAGGGTGATTCAACCACCCATGTAACAAAACACCCTTAAACAAAATTCCAGTTAGACCAGTAGATCTCACAGACCATCATTTCTTGCAGATACTATTGTGTATGCATGTGATCCTCTCTGTTGAATGGTATTTGTGTAGAGTTCCTCAGTGATCAATTGGTAAAAATGCTCAGAATTCTGGCTGCAGGTCATAAAATATAGTCTTTTTCAATGTTGTGAGTAGAAGGAAAAATATGACACTGTGGCTTCACTGACCAAATTTAAACTGTTTAGGAGATGCAAGTTACTTTATGTACTTATTAGTACTTTTCTATACTTAATAATTGTGGGGTTTACATATTCTTTTATGTGCAGGCTTTACTGGTTACTTGGTTATTTTTTTCTTTACACTTATCTGTGATTCTAAAGAAAAACATAAGTACTCTTCCACTAGGAGACTAAGATATTGGTTTTCAAGCTTAAATGGTTGTAGTCTGGGGAAAAGAAATGGACATTAGAAATTCAAGAGGATATTTGCAGCTGGTTTTTGTTATAACTTTGTTTTCCTAAATGGTAGAAAGAATGGACAACTAGAATGCTTTTTTCATGTCTTTTTAAATTCTGCAAATCTGCCAGCTAATTTTGGCAGCATTACAGATTTACAGAGTTGTTTCCCCCAGCTACAAGTTTTTGCAGCTATAAGGAAAGATAATTTTTTGATTATGGCATCTAAATGTAGCTGTTGTCTATGGCCTTTTTTGGTTACCTTCAGCAAGTTACTTCATTCTCTTATGCCCCAATCTTCTGCCTCTAAAATATATTACTATCATAATAGGCTTTTCTTTGTTATGTCTCACATATTAATGAATCACTGTATCACTTTCCTACTTCACAGAAGTGCTGAGAGCGTATACTCAGTAATATTCCTGAAGCGTGACAAAGTAAAGCCTATTACTGTAAGATCCTTTGCTTTAAAACTCCAGTTAGAATAGTAATGATAAACAACATTGGTTAGCCTTTGGCCCTACTGCACAGAAATAAATTTTTTACATGTTCAGATTTAAACTGATGAAGGAAAACTTTCATGTGTTTTATGTCCCTCCTCTATACTCAGGGAGAGATAAAGAAAAAAAGTTTCACATTCAGTGAAATGGGTTGTGTCTCCTTGTTAGTATGTGTATATATAGGGAGGAATCCGAGAATGGCTTTTTTGCCTGCTATGTCCTTAGCCTCTTGTTTCCGTGTGTGATGTAGTAGTTTATTCTCTTTATGTATTTCCTTTGATGAGGTGAACAGGAACCTGAAATGGACAGTTATGAAATGTCTTGCCCGTAGGAAAAGCTTCTTCCTAACCTCATTAGTGATGTCTTGAGAAACAACCAGGTGCATGGTGGTTTATATTTCCCTGGTATTATTTCCCTGAATAACTGTGGATATTCTTATTACATTTCTAAGTGACTGTTCTCAGAGGTGGCTTGAAAAGGTATTTCATTTTTTCAGGTTCAGATTGCTTGCCTCAGTGTTTCATTTAATATCTCCTTGTTCTTGCACTGTAAGAAGCAGTAGATAGGAATTCCACAGTTTCTTTTATTTATGATGTGTTGTATCATACATCCCCTGTTTTGTCTACTTTGTCCAGATTTATTTGATTTCTTTATACAAAGAACTATCCAAATGCATTTTGGGCAGATGTTCCTAGAACCCCTTGGACCTAAACATGGCATTCAGGCAATACTTCACTTATTTAGGAAAAGAAGATGTTCTCACTTATTTAAGAAAATAGCATGATAATTTCTGTGCTGTATACATTTATTATTATTTTCTTTCCTTGACTTTCTTTTCATTAAATAGTTTTCAACTCAGTAAGAGACATGTTTTCTTATTTTCCTTTTTTTTTTTAGCTCTACGTCTGAGAAAGAAAGTGCAGTTAATGGAGAAAGCGTCACTACATTTGTAATAGTTTTAACAGCTGCAGGCAGTTCATTATTTTGACTTGTTTTTTAATGCCCTCTGTGTTTTCAGTAATATCATAGTAGAGATTTTGGAGATAAAGAGGGAAGACCAGCAGCCCCAATATATGTATTTGTCCTTCTACTTTCTGTTCCTATTAAAAAAAAATATGAAAACGTTTAAGTGCCTATACTGGATATCTAACACAATTCTAAAAACTGACAAGTGCAAATTGAAAAGCAAAGTCCCATTAATACAGAGTTGGAGAGTGTCACTGTGCCATTACACATTAATTCTGGAATGCTCTGGGCCTTGCATAATCTGAGCAAGAGTCTTACAACATGTTCAGTCAATTCAAGTATATCTATTTGACTTTTATTTTCTTTGCAGACTACAGATGACATCCTGGTGGCCTCGGCTGAATGTCCTAGCGATGATGAGGACATCGATCCCTGTGAGCCGAGCTCAGGTGGGTTAGGTTAGTCAACTTTTTTATTACTTTCTTTTATTTCATATTTGCATGCTCCGGTCCCCCAGAGTCCCATCTAGCAGGACAGTCCCTTCTTACACAGCAAGGAGAGGTTGAATTGCAGCCTTTCTGCACAAGGCAGAGAGTTTACCCTTTCTACACAGGGAGAGTTTGCTATCCATTTCTCAAAGATAGCAGATGAGAGCACGCTAATAAGTCATGATCCAAGCAAGGTTATGGCTTGACTAAGGACTTGAGGATGAGCTGAAAAGGGCATTCTGGGGACCCTGCAACTATGTTAGAGTGATAAAGAAGGTACAACTTCATTTAGGAGGAAGATGGTGCGATTGTTTGTCCTTTAAGCATTTCCCCCAAATAAGATAAAAGTACCATATTTAAAATGTTGTGTTATGTCATAGAATCGTAGAATGGCCTGGGTTGGAAGGGACCTTAAAGATTATCTAGTTCCTACTGCCCTGCCATGGACAGGGATACCATTTTACTAGAACAGATTCCTCAGAGCTCCATCCAACCTGAAACACTTCCAGAGATGGGGAATCCATAACTCTCTGGGCAACCTGTTCTAGGACCTCACCCACCCTCAGAGTAAAGAATTTTTTCCTAATATTTAATCTAAATCTACTTTCTTTCAGTTGGAATCCATTACCTCTTGTTCTATCACTACATGCTTTTGTGAAAAGTCTCTCTTTCTTATAGGCTCCCTTTAAGTACTGGAGGGTAGAGTTGAGTTCATGTTGAATTTTGTGGTATGAAATTCTATATAGGTAGATAAAACCTAAAGACATAGAATTCAACAGTCTCAAATTTCAAATTGGTTTATGGCTTTTTTTCCAAGCCCAAACTATTCAGAGTGTATGTTTTAGTTCTGATTAGAAACAAAATATTTTGACATTCTCATATTTTCCATGGAAGAAAAACTTTGTAGTGTTTTGGCCATGTCTTTCTTACTCCCACTGAATAGTGGAGATCCTTCTCTGTGATATAATGGAATGGGTTGGGTTGGAAGGGTCTTTTAGTTATCATCTAGTTCCAACCCCCCTGCCATGGGCAGGGACACCTTCCGCTACATCAGTTGCTCAAAGCTCCATCCAACCTGGCCTTCAACACTTCCAAGGATGGGACATTCATGACTTTTGCGGGCAACCTGCTCAAGAAGGTTCAATTATATTTAATTATGGTCAATTAAATACTACATACTTTCCCTAAAAATCTAAACATTTATCACAGAAATGAAAGGACTGCAAAACTTCCTAATATCAGTCTGAAGAGTCGTGTTACTCTGTAACCTTTAAAACATCCCAGGTAGTCCAATGGATTACTCCTGCTTTCTTTGTTGGCTTGGCTTAGCTTTTACATTTCCTGAGTGAACAGCTTGTGGTACTAAATAGATATATCTCGGTGTTTCTTTTTTCCTTGAATTCTGTGCTATTTAGTAGCACACCTACTGCTAGTTAGTAATTTGGTAATCTTTGGTAATTGCTATAATACAATAGTAGAAAAATTAAATCTATTTGTTGTTCAGTAACATACTTAATTCAAGTAAAAATCAATTTAATACACGAATAGTATATTAATGCAAAATTGTGACTAAGAGCCATCTTAGTACAACACCAAAATCTGGGGCAGTCTACATGGCCTCAAGACAAATGAAATTTTACTTCAAATGCAAATGAGTGGTTCCTTTTTCAAGTCACATAGCCTGATACTCACATACAAGAATTATTTACTTAAACTGAAGTAAAGGCAGATACATTTATAACTTTCTCAGTGTCTGATGGACCTGTGGGGTGGTATTTGAGCTCTTCCAGGAACAAAGATATTTACAGATTTGATGATAATACTTTGGGATTGATTTCTTTTGGTTTCCAATAAAATGATTTTAGAGGAATTTTCGAAATGCCACGAGATGGAATGATCATTCTTAAAACTGAGCAGCAGTGGGTACACTCACCTTAGACAGTTTTCCATCTCTCAGGAAGGCATTTGACTTGCAGAAGTCCCAGACATCATGATCAAGATATTCAGGAATTGTGATAAGGATTTTTTGTTTTTTAATTCTGGGAATTAATTTCCAGGATATATTTTTCTGCACTTTGATTCTCATTTACAAATTCTTGAGTTTAACAAGACTGTCCTGTCCAGTATGAGTCACTGCAGTAGCTCATATGGCTCTGAGCTCATTCATGCCAGTTGCTTCCTTGCCTTAGTTAATTCAGTCAGTGCTGTTCAATAGATAAATTGGCATTTAGTTTGTTTGATTTTAATTTATTTTGTAAGGTAATTGAAAGCAATATATTGGTTGCCTGGCACTAAATAATTTCCCAAATCCTCTGAGAATACATCTTTTCTATTAAAGATGTGTTTGTAATTTCTCAGCCTTACAGCTCACTGAAACCAATGAAATTTCAGAATAATTCTTCTTTGAGGTTTTCAGATTTGGGGCTGCAGTGCTTGGTAGTCCTGAGCCATGCACAGTCATTTAGCTGATGGGAGGGGTGAAATACAGGTTTCTGGCAGGTTATTGTTTCTGTCCAAACTATGGTTCAGATGAAGAATGTGAATGTTAGTTTTCCAGCAAAACATTGCCATTAGCTTTACATCCTGGTGTTTAGCTTTCCTGTTTTAGCTTATCATTTATCACCCAGCTTCACTTCTCATTTTTGTTTATTTGAGAATGGTTTTACTGTTTCATTTTTTGGATCCCAACTGCTACTGCTTTTTTTAAAAAGTGTGGATTGGCACAGGAATTGTGTTCTGCATAATCCCAATTGTCTGGATCTTTTTATCTGTCATTCTTCTCATCAAAATGTCACTCATCCTCCCACTCTCAAACTTTTAAAAGCTGTTAATTTGCCTTCATCAGCCTTGTCCTTTTATCATATATGAAACAGCCTGAACCAAAGGGGTTACTGAAGTCATAACTTCTAGTATATCTGTTTCTCTGTAAGCTGTTTAAGTCTTAGTCACTTAGTGTTATGAATAACCTTTCATCATGAATAGCCGGGTAGGCACTGCTCCATCTCGGTAATACTGCAGTTTCCTTGTGGGTTTGAGCTACTCCCAAGGGTATGTTGGAACTTAAAAGAGAGAAGGATGATCTTGCTGGCAGTGACAGATTAATGTTTTTTTTTTTTTCTTTTAATTTTGGATAGGAGATACAAAAGGATATGTCCTTCCATTTAAACTCTTCTTGTGGTTCAGTTCAGCTTTTTCCCCTTTCTGCAAATGAGAGTTGCTTCTGCACAACTACTCCTCAACATCCCCACTAATGGTGGTGAAGATTATGTTTCCTAACAAATAATTCTAGGAAGCCAAATATATGATGCTTAGGGCAATTTTACTTTTATGTTTTCACTTCCAAGGCTGGGATCCTGATGGTCAGTCAGCAATGGCAAGAGATGATGTTCTCAGAGCTCTGAGGTGAACAATTTTCTAGCAAGAAATCAAGGAATGGCCAAAGCCCGTGCAGTTTCACTGACAGAGCCATAACTGAACATTTCCATGATGATTGCCATAATATGCCTATTTCTAACCAAAGTTCTCAGCTAAAAATGAGAGCCTATTCAAAAAGCAGTTTGAATATGGAATGCCTATATATCACAGAAAATGCTGCTTATGTGGATTTTCCTAATTAGTGAGATTTATGCATAAAATAGGACTTCTCTTCTACTACAGTTATGTTGCAGTTTGTAGTGGCTAACAAGTCCCGATTTGCCACCACCAGCTTTGCTTTCTGTGCACCTGTCTTCTAAATAATAAATGGAAAGATGCAATTTGCAACAAATTTCATGTGGGACATAAAAATGTAAACCAGATTAGGAGCTGCTGAGCAGCAAAACCCATCATCTTGTCTGGAACATAAAGTCACAAAAATTATAATTGCAGATTTCATTGTGGTATACAAACTGCTAAATGTGCCGTAATTGGTTGAAGTCGTAACAAATTTATTAGCATGCAAAACTTAGTCAACATATTTTGTTTGCACTATGTTTTGTATAGTGAGGCAGCATGTATTGCTTTCATGGTCTCTCCACCTTCCCCTCTCCTACTCTAAATGCTAATAACAGCACAAAGGTTGACGATGATAATAATAAAACAAAAATATAGTTTATATGTCCTCAAGTTCATGTCA